TTTCCCCTATAAATAAAAGAGTTTTCCTTCATTATAAATCAGATATGTGAAAGAGAAATAATAAGTCTTCCCTATACTTTCTTCTTATTCTATAGTTTCATAACACGTTATCAGCACGAGTCTCTAATCTAACAAAACAAACGTTGTTGAAGCCTAGAGTACGTCTTTAGGTATGTTTACAATGATTTGTGTCTTATTAAATAAAAAATTGTTTATGGTAAAATGTTGAGATGGCCAACACAGGTCAAATAGTATGAACCTTTTGCTTGTTGTTATTGATTTAATATTATTATTAATGTTACTTGCAGTAACATTATTGATTATGCTTATTGAATTGGAGGAACCTAATTGGTTCATGATATTAGTAAGGCATATACATACCTAATCTGATGTTGTTTTTCAATGGATAGAGGAAATATTGAAGTTGTTGGGGTTGGAAGAGAATCAGTAATACAGCTTATTAATTACCTTTCCTTACTCGGTTATTATTCTAATTTCTTAGCTATTTTGTTGATGTATTCTTCTATGGTTAGCACATCTTTCCAACTCTTTGGGGGTTGGAGATCTCAGCGAAGCGAAAGAGGAATGGATATAATTACTTTGTATGAGTGCTATTACTGCATCTTTAATTTGGACTTTGATGTAGTTGGTCTCTTCTTTTGTACCTATGGTTTTGCAAATTGTTTCTTACAAATTTATATGATATTAATAGAGGAGAGACCTGTACTGAAAGTTGAAAGTAAGAAAGCTTAGTTAAATGAAAGTTTATTGTCACCGTGACTGTTACTATTGTGTATGTCCAATTGCACCAAGAGGGTAAGACGATGGATTTATGTCCAATCTCACCATGAGGGTAAGAAATTAGGTTAAAGTCCTAGTGCACAATGATGATAAGAAATTGGGTTCAAGTCTCATCGATTTGTGACCTAAGACGCCTTTCTATGGGTAAGACGATGGATTCATGTCTAATCGCACCAAGAGGGGGCAAGACACCAGGTTCAAGTCTTGATGCACCGTAATAATATTAAAGATGTTGGGTTCAAGTTCCATCGATTAATGGTCTAACACGTCTTTATATGGATAAAATGTTGGGTTTGAGTCTCAATGCACCATATTGATGATATAATGATGACTAATGCAAAACAATGTGTTTTTGATGAAAAGTGGTCACGAACCCTATTCAATTGAAACTACTCCATTCCCTAAAGTGAATGTGGATAGTCGTGCATAATATGTCTGAAATAAGACAAGTGATTAGATAATGCACATAAACATGGAATAAGGTACTAAAGCTATCATAAGATGATATGATTGTTGGGTTTTAAAGGTGTGAACAAGAAATGAAGGGTTGAGCTTTTCCAAAGGAATTGTGACCTTTATGAAAGGTTGTCTTTTTTCCAAAGAGTTGCGACATTTACACTTTGTTGGCTATAAATAGAGAGACTTTCTCTCATTTTTCTGCATTGAATTCTTCCATTCTTCAACATACATTTCTTACAAAACAAAATTGATTGATCGTGTTTGTGTGTGTGATTCATTGTTGTCATTTTGAGTTAGTTGAAATTATTGAAGTTTGAGGTACCGCTACTTCTTTAATGGTTAATCCGTTTTATCTTGGGAGGAATATATTAATCTACAACCTCGGGTACTTGAGAGGATTAAATTTCTTAAGGACACAGAGGGTTTTGTGGACTCGGATAGTTCTTTTCTTTTTCTTTTCATCTTAATTGTTTCTGGTTTACTAATCTGAATACAGGAGACAACAAGCTTAAGAAATTTATTGTTGATGGTGTTTTCTGTGGTAAGCTTTTATTTTCTATGTTCTTTTTTTTTTTTGGAAAAAAAGAAGAAGAAAAAGACAATTATTTTATCATATGATAAAAGAGATTTGGGATGAATTAGTACTACTTTAATATGTTTTAGTATATTTTTTGTAGTAAGTTTTCCTTGAATGGGTAAGATTATTTTTGTTTTCTTTCCAAATGCATTGAAGCATTGCACCCCTTCAGTTTTTTTTCCTTGAATGGGTAAGATTATTTTATTTTCTTTCCAAGTGCATTGAAGCATTTCACCCCTTCAGTTTTTTTTCAATAAGAAAAGTTATTTTGTGCATAAAGGTTAAGATATGCACTGTAATTTATTTTTTCCTATATTCTTGGTTTTATATAATTAACTATGAGAAGAAGTAAATGAACAGATGTTGTCTCCTAACAATACTTGAACATGAGTTTAGTTTCTCGTTGAAATTTAATGTCTTCTGAGGAAAATTGGAATATGATGGAAACTGGGAAAGAAGGAAAAAATTAGCAAGAAAAGTGACTTGCATGGAATCATTGTTGACAAATAAAATATGATTCAATGGGGGTAATAATTAAGTTTTATCTTTATTTTCCTTGATTATTTTTTTTTCTATCCTTTATAAGTTATGAGATTTATTTCATAAATGTTAGGATAGATGGTCATTATGTGATGATCTCAGAATATGTCTTTATTACTATTAATATGTATTCTGTTTAGAGGAGGCAAAAAAACTTTTGTAATTTTCTATTCCATGTGAAATTTGATTGTCTGACTTTTGGAGACTAAAATCCTCTGATTTTGTACTCCTTTGATTTGAAGAATATAAGAATTTCACGAACAAATGCATTGGTTTGAAGAATATAGAAACTTCACAAATTTGTTAAATACTCTGTTTGAATGAATATTCTGACTTGAAGAGTACAAAATCTTCGTCAGAAATATTAAGGCTAAATGATTTGAAAATGATAAAATCTTCATCATTAGCTAGAAACAATGTTGTTTTTGAGGTTTCTAGAGATTAAAACCTTTTTTGGTTTACTACTCTGTCTGAATGTGAAACTGATTCGACGAATATAAAAACTTCATCAGAATTCAAGGTTCATTCGGTTAACGATTAGAAGAATATAAAAACTTCATCGTTAAACTAGAAACAAGTTGTATAAAGATTGAATCTTTATTGTTAGTATTTTAAATACTAAGTAGTCTGTCTAATTGTGATAGAAAGGGAAAAAGAACACTAGTGACATAAAATTAGTGATTTTTGTGCCTGCAATGGGTGTTTCTATGGATTAAATCTCCAAAAGAAGGCTTCGTGTTGCCAATGTGTATTTTGATGGTATACAATTTGAAACCATGTGAAAAAATATGTGAAAAATAATTTCAAATACTTGAAAAATATTTTTGAGAACATATTTAAAATGTAGGGGCTTCTTTACTTGTGATAAAGGCAGAATTAGACTTACTATCTAATTTAAATTTAAAAGTACTAGATATGAAATTTAATGACATTCTTGTATTATGTTAGACCCACAAAATTCTTGGAGTATATTTGATATTGTGGTTGTTGAGTCTCTCTTTACTAGTATATGATATGACTAGTATTAAAATAAATTTATTTGTATAGACATGATCATTGGTAAAATGTGATCTGTTATGTTTGTGTTGTAGAACAAACATTTGGGTCATATTGCCCTTATTGGACCGATGAGACTATGGTCATGGGTAATTCTATAACAAATTGAATGTTATGGAAAGGTCCTTCTGAAAAGGACATCTGGTAAGGTGTTGACTCTAAAAATGTGTTTGTATTTGACAAAGTTGTAAAAAGTAAAGAACAAAATATTGGTAGGAAAAGGTTACCACACGGAAGGCTTTTCAAACTCAGTATTTTTGTTTGTTCTTACTTGCTTGAATCAAATTGTTTGTGACATGAATGCTTGGGACATGTTAATTACAAAACCTTGTAAAAACTGATCAACTTAGAAGTTTTGGCTAACTTCAAGTGCAATAAATCAAAATGTCAAGTATGTGTTGTTGAAAGGAATTGTAATCCTTTAGAATTGATTTACACTGACATTTGTGATATGAAGTCCACACTAACTTCTAGTGCAATAAATCAAAATGCCAAATATGTCCCCTAAACTATGCAAAAATGTCTTGATATACCCCCATTTGATATATGGGAATTTGGGTCGGATAGGATTTACGAGGGGTGTATTCATTTTTTAATATAAATAAATGACATTTGGTAATTATAAGGGGATGTGGCAATTCCATTTGTTATTTAAAGAAAGGGAAAATGAGTTGGTTATTTTCAGCGAAGCAACTAACGTCTACAATGGCATATATATGCGAAAAGTTGGATGGTGAGGGCACGGATGAGCCAAACTTTAAACGGGGATATATCTAGACATTTTCATATAGCTTAGGGACATATTTGACCCTTTCCCCTATTTATAGTGTTTCATTGTTGGTGCACGTTGTTTGTACCTAAGCTACAATTTTATTTTCTCAATGTTTAGAATATGATAGATGTTGAACATGTATGTATTTTTATGATATTATATTTGAATATGTATGTGTTTTTAGATTGTGTTGAACATATGATATATAAGTGTTGACACCCAATTTTGAACGACCTCTAACCCTTTTTGGGAATACTATTCGATTAGATATGTATTTTTAAAATATATTTTGAGTTTAAAATTTTTAATCAATTTCGTCTTAAAATTATATATTTTAGTATGCATGATTTTAAAAATTATTATAAATATTATCAAATTATTTTTATCGATAGTTAAATTCAAAATAATTACTTTACTTAAAGATTTTAAAATCTTAGATATGTTTAATTATATGAAAATATTTTAGTATGTGTAGTATTTTATTAATTGAATAGCATTTCCTTAAGTTTCCTCCAAATCATTTAAATTTTAGCCCATTCTATTCTAATTCCTTTCAATTCTAGCCTATTCAATTTCAATTTTATTTTAATTCTAGCCAATTTTTATTTTCAATTTTGGCCTTTCCAATTCAAATCTCAAGACCCATTCATTTTAATCTCGTCCGTCCATCTTTAAATTAAATCTTAGATCGAATCCTAGCCTCTCATCTCTTCTAAAATCAATGGTCAAGATCAAATCCATCTCTTTCCTATTTTATCCATTAAGAACCCAAGCCCTAAAACATTTGTCACTTCTTCCAACCTCCAAAGTGCCTCATCCCTTTCTCTCTTCTCCGTCTTTCTCCTCCGGCCAGCGCAGCCAGTCGACCCCTCTCGCCTCTCCATTCTTTCCGCTATAACAACATAAACAACAGTAGCCGGCGAGGAGGACAACCTCCGACCGGCGAAAGCTCCAGCGAGCAGCAGCCGCTAGACGCCGATACGTCTCCCCCAGGCGAGATCGACGGAGCAGCAGGCTCCACTGGCGAGCAACAGCAACCAGCAACGACAGCAAGCTACCTGCGAGGAACACCAGCAGCTATCAGCTCCAGCGAAATCTTCTCCGTCTCCAACAACTCCGGCCAACAGCTCAACGAATCGAGCACCAACAAGTTCCGAATAAAGGTTCCGGTCAGGCAGCGGATTCCGGGGAAACCTTGAAGATCGCGAGTTTGTTAGAGATGGATTTTAACAGATCCGGCATGTCTCTCGATATGGTAAGATTTGCTATAGTTTGGTTCCTTTATTTTGCTTTTTTATTCTAATTGGCCGCCCTAATTGATTTTCCCATTCCTTAAAATAATTATTTATTTCCTTGTGACTAATTGTGTATATCTGCCATCAACTTTTTCGTAATTATAGTAAGTCGATTTCTTACTTTATTTATACTTGGTAAATAAATAAATTAAAATTCGATTTGGCTCTCTTTTGAAATAAGGAAAATGTTATATTAATTGATTCCTTAAATTATTCCTTCCTTATATTATATGCCCTCTTCTCCACTATATAAACAACCATCCGCTCATATTATAGAGACGGATGGATACACATTCTAATTGCTAAAAAAAAGAATAAACACTCTCTACCCTTGAAAAGAAAAATAAGAACTCTAGTAGAGCTTTGGATCATTCTTTGTGGCATTGTTGTGTTGTTGTTTCGGTGGAGATCTCTTTAAAACACTCCATTGCTGATAATTATTTCTGCTTGATTGGTTAGTTGTTTCTCTATTAGTTTAATTTCCGTTTTGCATTGTTTCAATTGTTGTTGTATGTTTGAAAGAATAATGGGAAGCGTCTGGGTCAGTTTTCTTATCCTTCCTTGCTTTGTGTGATTATATATTCTCCACAACTTGTTTAATTCTTACATGCTTGTATGCTACTTGTGTACATGAAATAATTAAATCTGCATACCATATAATTAGTTTTATCATCTTGCTATCGTCTTTTATGTGTTATGACTTGCCCGTATTCATTGTACTTTAACAGGGTTTTGAACTTAAAGGTTCAAGAGTCTCCTCGAAGAGATTTCCAGACGAGACTCTTATGTTCAAGTTTATCTTAATGTTGTATATATTATTTATTTATTCTTTGAACTTGTGATATTTTGTATTGCTCTAACTCTAAACTCTCCTATATATATGATATAACTTGGGGATTGTCTAAGGGGAGGGGTGTATGTGCTAACTGTTTTCTTACTTTATTTACGTACTTATGTGTGAATGTGTTTTGATTAAATAATTATTTGAACATGGCTACTTAAAATAATCAGCATGCTTCTAAATCTAATTAGAATAAAAAAAAAAGGTTTTGTCGATATTATTATGTTATCTAAATTATGAGCATTAGTTATGTTGGCCGCCTGTTTTAATGTTAATACTAAAATAAATCAATAAGTCTTTGTAACATCATTTTAGATGTAACTAAATTAATTAATTTTTACATGTCTCCCTGCTTTACTTGTTTTGATAACCCATTTTTTATGTATGAAAAAAATTTAATAAAACAAAGCTTTGCGTAAGTCATTTGTTTGTGTTGAGTGAAATAAAGGTAGAAAGCATGCCTATAGGACTCGAACTAATAAATTTTGTGTTAGTAATCAATGAATAATACCTGCATGTCTAACGAAATACTCGTAACTGTTCGTAAAATTAGTTTGTCATTAGAAATCATTCTCATAAGACTTAATTAATAAAATTGATGATTATTAATTAGTTTAATAAATTTCAGCATGTTCTAATAATTCAACCCTGTTAATTAATGAAGTTTTAACCAACTTTAAGTTGCTAATAAGTTTGCAGAATGTCAACTCACTTAGAAGTCATGCCTATAGGACTAAATAAAATAAAAAGAAAACATGAAATAATTTTTAGCATATCAATGACTGAAATAAAATTTGTTATACATATTTTTCTGCCACTTTAAATAAATAAATCAGCTAATATTTCTGCAGCTAATAATCGGTTTGCCACTTAAAGTAATTTCTGCATTAGTAAACTAATCTCCTACTACTATTAAAAAGTATTTCTGCATGCTATAGTATTTTCTACCACCCTACAATAATTAATTAATATAAACTTTTTGCATGCTGTAATATTTTCAGTCACCTTCTAAAATTAGATAATAGAATAGTTTTCTGCATTAATAATAAAATTTGCTACTGTCCTAAGGTATTTTCTGCATGTGATCACTTTTTCTGACAGTTACTGATTAATTTCTGCAATAATAATTAAATCTGCTATTGTTTTCAAATATTTTTGTATGTGTGCCCACTTTTCTACTATATTTTAAAATCAAATAAATAAAAATTTGTTATGTCATTAATTTCTGTCCTTTTAAAATCAGTTGAACACTAAAATCTGCATTTTGTAATAATTTTCTGTCACTCTTAATTAAGTAACCGTGATGTTGTATTGATTGTTATAATTTTGTATGCCACACACTTGGCATGTGACCTTTACACTCTATTTGTGTTTGTCAGCGTGTTCAATTAAAATCTAGAGGCAAATATGAGATTTACGTGCTAAATGTTCGTCCTATTTGTTTGACTTGGTGTCTATGTGGGCCTAATTAGGAGCCTTTATTTTATTTTTTAGTCTAAAACCTCCAACAATAGTCCAATGCCTCTTGGACCTTAAGCAGGGACGATAGACACCTTTTAGGATGTTATGCATGTGGAAGGTGGGGTAGGGGTAGTTTAGGCCCTACAGATATGATGACATCAACTCAGGCTTAAAACGACAAACCTTGGTTTTGTCTGTCCCTACACGGAAAGCCTATCGAAAAAAAAGTCCGAGTGTTGATTCGTAAAAACCTTCAGAGTCTCCCTTTCCTTTTGTTCCTTTATTTGTTTATAATTATAATTGTTTGGGGTAGTTTAAATAAAATATAAGAATTGTTTGTTTCTCTACTTGTGCAATTTATGTCCCCTCGCTATCTCTTTATTAATTGTTTAATAATTATTTGTTATTATATTATCACTTAGTCTTGCATGCTTAACTAATTAATTAAAATAATTAAAGTGCCCTTAATTGCTTAATATTATGTTATCACCTAGTTTTGCATGCTCAATTGATTAAGTAAATAAATGAAGTGATTTTGATTGTCTAATGTTAGTTATCATCTAGTAAGCATGCTAATTAAATAAATAATAATTAAGTGACCTTAAATGTTACTTGTAACCCCTACATAAATTACATGAGATACGACTGGGACTCACATTTGTGGACCTCGAGGGATGCCTAACATCTTCCCCTCGAGGTAATTTGAACCCTTACTCGATCTCTAGTTCGTTGACCTTAGTTAGGTTTAGCTAGGTTAGATAGGTGCCCTAACGCACCTTAATTCGTTAGGTAGTGACTCTTCAAATCAACCCAAAGCCCAAAAGAGTTATTAGGTTGAAAGTTCGTTTTTGCAGAAAAATTGGGCACGACAATAAGTTTCCAGTATGTTTTCATTCTTAGCTGGTTAACAGTGAAATCTTATATATAAAAAAATAATTGAAAAGGAACTTGGTCGGTAAAAGTATTGTAATCAACAAAGGGAATTTTGGCTGCTAAAAGTACATATAACGAAAATGGACAAATATACTCCCGAACTATCATAAATGATATGTCAATACCCTCCGTTATACTTTAAGGTTGTATATACCCTTACCGTCAATATTTTGGATAATCTATACTCTTAAGACTAATAGAAACATGCCATCATCTAAATAACTAACCTGATTTTATTTATTTATGTGAAAATTTTATAATTGACATTTATAGAACTAATAATTGTAAGTTATAACATTATTCTTTAACTTTCAAGTTATAACAATAACCAATTACAGGTTATAACATTTTCACTTATTGAAAAAGGAATTTTAAAAAAAAAGTAGTAAAAATCAATTAGTTTGAAAAAAAAAATGGAACTTTGGGTAACAAACAATTTGAAAATCTTAATGATAATTAAAGAAGCATAAAAATAGGAGAGTCATAACAAAGTAGAATATTTGTTTTCCTTTTTTATCTCAAAATAGTAATTCAAACAGATTTATTTTTAAAATAATTTCAATAGTTTCTCTCTCTTCTCAATATTCTCTCTCGTCTAATTCGTTCAAACAATATTCTTAGTCGTCACTCTCGTGTACTTCAAATTTGTTTTTGTTCTATAATCGTCATTTTCTTGTAATGGGCGGTTTCTTATCAATATTAATAAAATATGGTGAAGATCCTTCAGGTTAGTATTTTTTCTGAAATTTTGTGTAATTTATTGCAAAAAATTGGGTTTTTTTCTAAAAGTATACCGGTGTTAGTTTATGGTATGAAACATTTTTCATTTTTTGTATGTTTCTGGTTTAAAAAATTACGTAAAATTGGATTGAAATTGGTATACTAGATATGTTAAACATGTATGGAATTTGATATTGTTTTTGGTACGATTTCTGATTTTGGATATTGTTTATTTATAATAAATGACAATTACTAGTAAGAAATGGTATAATTATTGTATTCTTTTGGTATGAATTTGCTATGAATTAGTGATGAAATATGTATAGAAAGTGTGCAAAAAATTGGTATGAAATTTGTGAATCTGGTATGATTGAATTTTTTTTTGGCATTATATTTGTATGTATTTGGGCGTAATAATGAAATAAATTTGGTATACTGATTATTTAATAAATGACAATTACTAGTTGGAAATGGTATAATTTTGGTATTCTTTTGTTATGAATGTTGTATGAATCAGTGATGACTTTTTGCTTGAAATAGGTATATAAAATGTGGATATACCAAGTTATGTGTTGGAGCATAAATTGTTGCTGCCTGGTTCAAAAAGAACTGTAGGGAGACCACAACTTCAATGTTGGAAGGGGTTTGCTGATGTGAAATTAAAGAGGTCTATAGTTACGTGCATTACATGTTGTCGGGAGGAACACAACATGAAAACATGTCCAAATTACCCTGCAGCAAAAAAATCATAATTTATTTTAATTTTGATTTGATTGTTTAATTGTGACAAACTCATGTTTTGATTTATTTTGTCCTTTAAGCTAATGAATTATAATTTAAGAACATTTATTATGTGTACTACTTAATCGTTTGTGTGTATTTATTGTTTTTCAAATATAAAGTCATGAAAGCCTTATTAATTCATGATGCTATGCAATTGGTCACACTATTAGAATAATCAATATAAATTTAAATATGAAAATGATATCCATTTGGTATGCGATTGAAGTCCCGCTGATTTTAAAAACATGTAATTAATATTTGAATTAATGTAATTTTCAATAGATATGCATTTGTTGTACAAGTGGTATGCCAGTGGGAAAAAAGAAAAAAAAAATATATTATGTGTACGAGGTAATTTATATTGTCGGATTTATTCTTCCTATATGGATACCAAATCTATACGAATTGAACACCAATTTGGTGTTATTCTTAATTTTCAATTTGGAGATCAATTGGATAAAAAGTAAGCCACCCACAAATTATTTAATGTAATTTTTGATTGGTGTCTATTTGGTTTCCACCTAATGTCCCATTAGATAAATAAAAACATCAAGATGAAATTGATATTTCAACCAAATTAGTCAACCTAAAATTAATTATTATTGTTTTCAATTGATATGCATTTGGTATCAAATTGGTATCCCACTTGAAAAATAGAAAAAACAAGTTATTATATTGTTGTCAAAAAATCGTAGCAAAAAGATGTAATTGAGATTTCAACAAATTAGTCAATCTAAAACTAGTTAATGTTGTATCACATTGATATTGATTTGGAAAACTTAAGTGTAACATCGTATAGAATTGTTGTATACTATGTTTATGAGTTGTTTTTCAAAACTAAAAAATTAATATAACTCTGACTAATGTTGATATCCAATTTGTATACACTTGTTATCAAACTCGAAAATTTAAGCTAAAGACTATCAAAGATGTATGAAGTTGGTATCCAACTGGAAAGAATAAATCTAACAATGAAAAACAAAGCAGATTATATTATTGTCAAAAACGGTAGTAAAAAGAAATATGTATCATCCAAAAATTAAACCACGTGTAATGATTAAGAGTCTAAGGTGCAATCAACTATTTCAAATTTTGTTTCTATGATTTTGGTGTAGGATAATTGGTAGTATCCGGAGCATGTTCTTTTGCTATCCGGGGTCCACCAAACTTGCTAGCAACAATTTTAGTTACTTCACTCTCACTAGTTGCGCCATCATCGTTCTTGCTTCTTCCATAATGCCATAGTATTATATCAATTTCATGACAAGGCATATACATATAGATGCATAAATCATAGCAATTTCATGTCAACTTTAAACAAACTCCATGCCAAAATAATATGCATAAAGAAATAGTTCGAAAAAAATAATTCTTACTAACCACTGTAGCATTTCATCAACTTCATTAAGACTCCAAAATTTATACAAATGTTAGAAAAGACACACCAAATTTATATCAACTTTATGCCAATGCATATAGATATTGATGCAATAAATCATACCAATTTCATGCCAAACATATACTCATATTCAGATTATTGGATACCAATTTAAAACATAAGATGAACTATATAATACAAATTTCATATAAATTTTATACACATTGTTGCACTTCGTTCGGGAAACAATTTTAAAAAATGAATGAAAGAAAAATAGAATAATTAAGAAAATAATTTAAATAAAAATTTTACCCTCACAATTTTTGCCCTTTTTTGACTTTCGAATTTCCGAATCATTGTCCATTGTTGCTCTGCTTTTGGAGGGTTTTGATGACTGACCCATATCCACAATAGTTAATTTATTTGTTTTTTCTTGCTTACAAAATTTGAGGCAGAATTCGATTTTGTTTTTTTTTCTCGATTACAAAATTTGAGTCAGAATTCGAAGGGATTTCCACGATTTTTCCTTTTCACTTTTGTCCCTTCCGATTTGAAGGAGGAGGTGCAATTTTATTTGCTTCTCTTTTCTTATCCTTTTTTGGGCTTTGTTTCTTCTTTTGAGGGGTAACACACCAATTCATCGAATTTGCATTCTTGTTGGTCGGCGTCAAATTTGAGGCAATATGTTAAAAGTTGGAGTCTCAAAATCAACATTAGAACTTGTTTCTACTAATTTCTACTAATCTAGGCTCTTTCGATCTAGAAGTGTTCTTCGACATGTTGATCTAGTTTCTTAGTACTTTGATGAAGATTTGATTCTCTTTTGAGTGAACAGAGAAGAATATGATGAGAGAGATTTACGGTTGAACGGTGAAGAAGAAGATGAATATGGTGAGAGAGGAATTCTTACAGTTTGAACGTGGGGGTGGGGGTGATAGCAGGGGAATTGGACAGAAACGTGGTGGGGGTGGATAGTTGACGTGATAGTAAAAAAGGTTTTTTTTGAAAAGTAAAAAATCTCTAAAAATGTGTATTAGATAATTATGATTGATTCCCTATTTTACTTTATTTTATTTATATAACCTATTAATTAAATTATAAAATATTATTATAAAAAGACTAATTATTTAATAAAATTGAATTAATTAATTTTTTAATAAAAAATGATATGTTATAACTCGCAATTAAAATGTTATAAGTAGTAATATTTAAAAAGTAGATTTAAAACCCGTAATATTGTATCTTAAATATATATATGGAGTGATTTTTCCTTAAAAATGTAGCCTCTTTGCAAATTAGTTGAAAAAATGATCTCATTTTCAATGCAAAAAAATAAAGAAAAAGCATAAATCTCACTAATTTATGAGCTCATTATTTATATACACTCTAAGTTTACTATATTACACATATTTTATTAAATTTTGGTGTGCTCAGATACATTCATATACATCCAGATACATGTATCTTGAGATACATAGAGTCAAAATTAGGTGTAATTTAATCTAGATATATTGTATCCAAGTGAATTTGTATATATTTGGGATACATAACAGATCTCATTTTCGTTCCTCGCCTCCCTCCCGTACTAGCCACTCTCTTATGTATATGGTATACAGATACATGAAAATCACACTAGATACATGAATTTGGTGTGATTTGCATGTATCTGAGATATATAACGAATCACACTCGTCTCCCTCCCCATCTTGCTCATCTATCTCCCTATTTTAGTGTATCTGGTAGCAAGAATACATGTATGTAAGTGTATCTTCCTTAATATATATGGTAGGAAACTCTTAATTAGTAGTACGATATGTAATATTTTAAAAGTATAGGTAATAATACTATATATGATAGTGAAATATGTCTAATTATGTAAAAAAAAAATCAGAAATAAAATCTAATTATAAATATAATTAAAATTTGAAGATATGCCTTTAGATTTAACATTCTTCCTTCTTTTCTCCTATATCTTTTTTTTTTATGTTTTGAAAATTGTTTGCTCTTAAAGTTTTCCTCTTCATTTTAATATTATGTTGTTTTGTCGTCAAGTTGGATTATAAATAAATTTGATTATTATTGTGAACTAGTATTCATTTCCGCGTGTTGCGCGGATATTTTTAAATATCACTATAACATGTGATGAAAATCAGGAATGTATTGATTAAATTTTTATTGTATATATGAAAAAAAATCTATACATATGTAAGTTTGGGGTTATTTAGTCTTCACCTTTGCTACAAAACATTTCTTGAAGGATTGACATCTTAAATCTCTTGTCGATATGAGCCTTGAACACATATTTGTAATCAAAAGAAAATCAAACATTTCATGATTTCATAATATGCATAAAATAATTGTTTCTTATTTTCATAAAAATAGAGTTTACATCTATTCCATCTCTACCTAAAACACATTACATCAATTATGTTACGTCTCCTAATTTATCTTTTAACCTCTACCAAGATAACATAAAATCTTAGATAACTTTAGTCTAATTTTTTATATCCAAATTTAGTATACCTGCATGAATTTTGAAGAAAAAAAATTATAAGCCATTTTGTAAACTTTATGCCAGAACACTTATTGCTCGTAGTGTTGCATCAGGTTTTTTTTTAATATCTACTATCGTTTTAATTTTGAAAAACGAAGAGAATAAGATTAAACAAAAAATATGATTAAGATATTACAAAATCCAAAGTGATATTAAACAATAATACTTACCTTTTTTTCCTCAATAAAAACATCTCACTAAACAAATAGATTTTTATTATGCTTCCTCTTAAAGCCTGTGAGAAAAATTACAAAAAATAGACATAAAAGCATTGATGTAGATAGCAAAAAGTCAGTTTGGAGAGATCAATTCACATTGATGCATATACTTTGTTAGACGATTTTTCTTATGTTTGATCAAATATATCTACTCCTCCATAAGTTTGTATCACTGTATTATACGTCTATATATGAAAATAATGTACATAAAAAAAAAAAGAATCAGAAAATTCATCATCTCAAAGTGCAGTGCTCTCCCTATATGTTCTCTCCAAATTTGTTAAGAACATAATAGAAAAAAGTAATTATTTCCCCCTTTATATCTACTCTCTTCAAGAGGAGGCAGTTTCAAAAATAATAAAGCAAATAAAAAAAAAGCAGTTTTTGGTTAGTTATTTGCAATTAAAAAATTGTGAAAGTTCCCTATTAAAAAGGAGTCTCAATTCAAAAAACGTAAAAAACTACTTTTAAATTCATATAAAAAACTAACCACTTTTGTTTTTCTACGTGGGTTAATTTAACTTTTTGTGTTTTCCATTTTTGGTCCGTATTTTCCATTCTATGTTTGCATTTTTAAATTTTTTTAAAAATTAAAATTAAAAATAGTTTTCCAATTACATGGGAGTAATTATTGTTTTAAAATGATTTATATTTAGTTATTTAAAAATATTTTTTCCCGTGTTTTCCATTCTATGTTTTTACCGTGTTTTCCAACATTTGTGGGAATTTTTTTACCGTATTTAAGTTTTAAATATTTTTTTTTAAAAATAAAATAAAAACAGTTTTTCAGTTACATGGAACTAATTTTTAAGATTGTTTTAAAATGATTTATATTTAATTATCCTAATTTTATTTTAATTATTTAAAAATATGATTTTTGTGGTGTTGACACGTATGCGTTTTTTCCTCTCCTTTTATATATAGATAGATTAT